AGTATGACCATACCCGTTCGCGCAACGTCTTACTCGATTGAGGGATGCAATGTAGCTCCTCTTCCAAACTGGTCTCTCGCTGGGTAGTCGAAGGCCAGACTGTCAGATTGGATTGGGCCCCAAGGGCCAATCTGGCCCGGCCAAACTGGATGATTTGGGTTATTCGCCAGACTGGATTCGCGTTGGCTCCCTCGCCAGATTGCCCCCGTTTGCCAGATTGGGCCTGCCAGAGTGGCGCCAGATTGGCTTCGACTACTCAGTCTCGCTTGAGGTGCAGGCCCATCGTAGGGTGATGTTGTCCATCGGGTGCTTGGTGCAGTGAAAAGGGTGGCCTGCACGTAGGGGCGTATGGTGAGGGAACTATTGTAGCAACGTTGGTGCATATCGGAATTAGTCTGATATCCTCTCCTTCTCCTCCCCCCCTCCTCCTCCTCCTCCGCCCCTCCTCCTTCTCCTCCTCCTCCTCCTCCTTCTCCTCCTCCTCCTCCTCCTCCTCCTGCAAGCCTAATATGTCTCAGCTCCGCGGGTGGCGTAAGTGGTAAGTGGGTCACGCTTCGGCTTAGCCCAAAATGGACCCAAGCGCAACGCCGCGGAGCTCCAAGTGACTTCGGTAAGCTACGTCGCGCCGCTCAGGGAAGTCACACACACGCACACACACACACACACACACACACACACACACACACACACACACGCGCGCGCACGCACACGCACACGCACACGCACACGCACACGCACACGCACACGCACACGCACACGCACACGCACACGCACACTCACACACTCCTCCTTCTCCTCGTCCTCCTCCTCATCTTCCTCATCCTTCTCCTCCGCCTCCTCCTCCACCTCCGCATCTTCCTCCTCCTCCTTCTCGTGTGGAGGAGAACTCCTCCTTGTCCTCTCAGGGAGTAGCGGGAGCAGGAGAAGGACGGAAGAGCAGGAGGAGGAGGCGGAGGAAGCGGAGGAGGAGGAGGAGGAGGAGGAGGAGGAGGAGGAGAAGGACGGGGAGTAGACACAGGTGGAGGGGAAGCGGGAGGGAGGGGGAAGTGGGAGGTGGAGAGGGGAGCTCCTCTTCGTCCCCGCCCCCCCTTCCGAGGAGGAGGCCTCGAAGCCGCTCGACAAGGAGAGCTCGGTGGGCCTGCTCCAGGTCGGCTCCGCACGCTGGCGCTTCGGGGACCCACGCCGCACACACCCCACCCTCGCCTGCCCCCCTCCTGAGCAGGGAGTCCAGGGGAGGAGAGAGGGAGGGAGGGAGTCGCAAGTACGGGGGGGGGGGGGCGATGGTCCTCCCAAGTTTCCCCATGCACCCTTCCGTCCTTCCCATCCCTCCTCCCCCTCCCTGCCTCGTCCTGCGCCAATCCCCCATCGTACAACGCACCAGACTTCCTTTGGGTGTCCTCCCCGCTCTTGAATCGTCCTCCAGTCCTCCGTCATCCTCCTCCTCCTCCCTCCTTCCCTCCCTCCCTCCCTCTCTTCCTCCTCCTCCTTCTCATCCTCCCAGGCAGTGGCCATGGAGCAAGCCCAAGCGCCACATCATCGGGCAGGAGATCACGACCACCGCGCAGCCCGTCGCGAAGGCATCCTTGACATGCTCGTGGCCCTCGTCCTTACCCCGTGCCTCCTATTCCGCCCCCTGGGGTCTGCCTCTTTGGTGCTGTGTTGGGGCGATCTTAGGGGCCTCTCAGGCCGCCTGCGGCGCTCTCGCGACCGACCTGGAGAGCATGGGAAAGCCACGAGAACGCACGGTGTGTCAATCCTTCGGGCCGTTGGTGCCGCTCCCCAGGGCCTGCCAGGGCCTCCAAGACGGCCCACGAGGCCCCCAAGCAAGCGCAAGCACTGGCCTGTGAGACCATCTCAGGGCACGTTCAAGGTTGAGACAACCAGCCACGTTCCCAAGGCGTCCGGAAAAGTCACGCGGGGAAGGCTTGTTGGAAGCTTGCTTGGGGGCGGTCTCGGGGCTGTCTTGCGGTGGAGGGAACCAGAGGCCCCTTCGAGTTCCCCATCTAGGGCCCCTCTTGGCGGCATCTCGAACCTCTCTTTGGGGGCTGGGGGGCGGTATTGGGGCGATCCAGAGGGCAGATTGGGTTCTCCTGAATGCTCCTACTACCGAAAGGGTATGCGAGAATCGTATCAAGCTGCCCGCGGCGGACCCCGCCACCGTGCCAGCGCATCAGAGCAGCGGCGCCAAAAGACAGGGGTTTGCCTTGAAGCCCGCTGAATTTCAGACAGGGAACTGGAGCGGGTCTTGCACACTCCCTCTTGTCAACAGCCTAGTTCTGCCCTTCCTTCCGCCCCGCTTCTTCTCCTTCTCGCTCCTCCTCGCTCCTCTTTCTCGCCCTCCGCCTCCATGTCTTCTTCCCTGTCTTCCCTCCTTCCTCTTGAGCCTCATCTCGGAGGCTTCCCTGGCGCCTCTTGAGCCTCTCATGGGGGTCTCTGAGGGCTGTCGAGCTTCTAAGGGCCTCTTAAAAGCCGTTGGGGGCCTCTTGGGTTTCTGTCAGGGGCGTATCTGGGGCCTCTGGAGGCCTCTTGGGGGCATGTTGGGGGTCTTGGGGGCAATCTTGGAAAGGGGGCTCCCAAGACCAGTTCGAGGGCCCCTTCTTGGACCCATAATGGGGCTTCCGGGGAGGCCTATTGGGCCATGCTGGGGGCCATTTTGAGGCCCTTCTTCTGGGGCATCTTAGGGTCCTCCTGGGCCGTCTTTGAGAACTCTTGGGCCGTCTTGGAGCTCTCTTCGGGACCTTTCGGGCCGTCTTGGATTTTCACAAGCCCGAGCATGCTAAAATTCTGGAAATATCGGTGGGAAATGCTGCATGTTTTCTTTGTGAGTGCCTCTTGGTTGTCCTCTCGGAGCCCTTTGGGGACCTCGTGGGCCGTCTCGGGCGCCTCTTGAGCCATCTTGGGGCCCTCTTGGAGTGTCCGGCGGCCTTATTGGGCAGTCTTGGGACCACCTTGGATGCCGTATTGGACGTGCTGGGGCGAGCTTGGCTATTTTGATGCGGGTGTTGGTTGTGTTGGTTGTCGAGGGGCGTGTGTTTTACTGTTTGGACTGATTGGCGTTGTTGTTGTTGTTGCTGTTGTTGCTGTTACTGTTGCTGTTGCTGGTGCTGTTGTTGGTGTTGGTGGTGGTGTTGGTGTTGGTGTTGTTGTAGTTGTTGTTGTTGTTGGTGGTGGTGTTGTTGTTGTTGTTGTTGTTGTTGTTGTTGTTGTTGTTGTTGTTGCTGTTGTTGTTGTTGCTGTTGTTGTTGTTGTTGTTGTTGTTGTTTGTGTTGGTGTTGGTGTTGGTGTTGGTGTTGGTGGTGTTGTTGTTGTTGTTGCTGTTGCTGTTGTTGTTGTTGGTGTTGTTGTTGTTGGTGCTTGTGTTGGTGTTGGTGTTGGTGTTGGTGTTGTTGTTGTTGCTGTTGTTGTTGTTGTTGTTGTTGTTTGTGTTGGTGTTGGTGTTGGTGTTGGTGTTGGTGGTGTTGTTGTTGTTGCTGTTGCTGTTGTTGTTGTTGGTGTTGTTGTTGTTGGTGCTTGTGTTGGTGTTGGTGTTGGTGTTGGTGTTGTTGTTGTTGTTGGTGGTGTTGTTGTTGTTGGTGGTGCTGCTGCTGCTGCTGCTGCTGTTGTTGTTGTTGTTGTTGGGATTGTGTTTGCCTGTTTCTACCCCCCTCGGCCAGAGCCTCTCCTCGTCCAGAGCCGCTCAGAACTATCATTTCTTTGAGGGAATTGCCCAAAATCGGCTCCAGAGAGGACGGGGCTGTGTTCTGACGACTCGTGCGGGGAGGAGATGGGATCGGCCCTAGAAAACACGGAAGAAACCTCCAACAGACATTAGAGGAGCAGTCTAACACGCCCCAGCGTGGCAAATACGGTAGCGGATGAACAGTTGTTGTGTTTCAATGATTCGAGTTTGTTGGTCTTGTTCCTAGTGCCTCCAAGACAGCCCAAGAGGCCCCCAAGCGAGTCCGAGGACGGCCCCATGGGACCATCGTGGGCATGGTTCAAGTAGGGATTCCGAATCACGTTCCCGAGGCCGCGGAAAAGTCATGTGCCACACCGTGGAAGTGCCTGAGGATTCCCAGAATGTTGTGGCTTTGGCCCCGCACAGAGCATTTACAACAGATTATTTCAACGCAGTGAACTCGAAAGGACTTGAGGGCACTCCACTTCGTGCCTCGCGGCACCATGGTGGATTATCATGTGGTGTTGCTACCACGTGTCCTTTGCATTGCGAGTGCACTCAAAGATACGTGAAAGCACTAGCCTGCCTTAAAGACTCGTAAGCAGCACAGCGCAACCATGGCACCCCGACACCACGTGTGTGCACAGGTGTACATGCGTCCATACGTAGACGTATGGGTGTTGAGAGAGGGGATGGAAGGATTACGAAGGAGCCACCAGGAAGAACGAAGAAGGATGAAGAAAGAGTAGGAGGAGGAGGAGAAGGAAAAGGAAGGAAGGAAGGAAGGAGCAGCAGGTTGAGCAGCAGCATGAGAGGGCTGAGGAGGGGGATGGAGGGACGAGGAAGACGGCACGGCCCGGTTTTCTTGCTGGCCACAGGCCGCGGCCGCTCCCGTGGAAGAAGCGCAGCCTGTGGCGAGCCCTTTGCAGCCCGGGTGCTACATGCGGATCCCCACCGGATGCCCCAAGAAGGCCATGAGGACCATGTTTTGGCATCCTCATCCTCCGCATCTTCCACCCGCTACTTTCTTCCTTATCCCATCCCCATCCTCTATCCTCCCTCATCTCCTCCATCCTTCTCATCCCCCCATCTCCTCCACCTCCTGTGTATCATCATCCGTACCAGTGTTGTTATTATGGTTGTTACGGTTATAAGTATTAGAATTGTTGTTATTCCTCCATCGTCCTCTTTCTTCGCACACTTCATCCCGCCGCATCACCTCCTCCGACTCCTTGCCTTCTCGTCGTCGCGATTCCGTCATCTACGCTCCTCCATTTTCCATTTCCCCTCCTCCCAGTGAGGACCCAGCTGTGGCGCCACGACACGTGGGCGGAGGAGCAAGGCTCGGCAGCGCTCCTTGCCCCATCACGGGCCAGGGATGGGAGGGAGAAGGAGGAGGAGGAGGAGGAGGAGGAGAGCATACAGTAACCAGTGAGGGGCACCAGGAGGTGCAGGAGGAGGGGTGGCAGGAGGATCAGAGAGTTTGCCCATCTTCGCTCATAGAATGGTTTCGAGCAGCAGCTGAGCGCGACGAGGCAGGAGGAAGAGGAGGAATAAAGAGAGACGGAGGAAAGAGAGATAGAGAGAAAGAGAGAGAGAGAGAGAGAGAACAGCAGCAACAACAACAATCATGTCAATACTGTTCGTTCTTCTCTGTTCGAGTGCCACTCAGCATGGATACCCCAAACCATCGATATCCGTCCTCTTCGTCTTCGATCGTACCCTGGGGGCTATATCTTCCATACCTGCCAGGCGCAGGTGTTAGGAGCAGAGAATGCAAGCGGCAGAACCAGGCGGGCGCGTCGGGCAGGCGGACCCTGACGGGCGGGCGGGCCCAGACGGCCGGGTCGAGTGGGCGGGTCGCTGAAGCGTCAGTCTTGTACGAATCGCGAGGAAGTCTCGAGCGAGAACAGGGAGGCAGGCAGGCAGGCAGTCAGTCCGATCGAGTCAATGCTCGGCCCAGAATCGGGCACGACTGTGTTGAACCTCAGGCATCACTTTTGGAGCCCGAGTGAAAAATTCACAAAGTATTCTTCGTGCTCGAGAAAGTCACTGTCTACATTCATGTCATACCATTCGGTCTCAAAGCACTCCTTCGCAAGTTTGCGCAGATAGTCGTCCCATCTCACTGCGGGCCGTCCACGTGCTAGTGGATGCCAACGCAATGCTCTTGGAGGCCAGCTGTCCGCCATCGTGCCTGCTCGATGCCAGTGACCTGAGACCCAAGAGTGTGCTTGTAACAAAACCGGATGCGAGCCCCGGGAGGTGCACTTCAATTTAAAAACACAATGGGCACCAGCGGGGAGAGCAACAATACGTATTTCCCTAGCCTTCACCAACAAAAAACGAAAACAAGAACAGCAGCAGCAACAACAACAAAAAGAACGACGACGACGACGATAACAATATTAACAACAACAACAACAACTATAACAACAACAACAATAACATCATCAACAACAACATTGACAACGACAGCGACAACGACAACGACAACAACAACAAGCATGTTATATTGTTCGCTTGTACCTGCTCGCGTGCAATTCAATACGTATATCCCAAACTCGATCGCACCCCTTTGAGTGTATATCTTCCTTACCTGCCGCATGTAATTGGTGCAGCCTCTGAAACAGTGGAAGAGAGGACGAATTGCAAGGGGAGGGAGAAGGATGGAGCGCAGGATCATAGGAGCAGAAAACACTTGACAGAACCAGACGGGCTGATCGGGCGGATAGACCCTAACAGGCGGATCGAAAAGGCAGGCCCAAGAGGCCAGGTCGAGAAAGCGGGCTGCTGAAGCGTGAGTACTGGGGATGCGCCTTGGACCCTTTAGGGCGTCACCCATATGTTTCGGGGACGCCGTCCCCGAAAGCTTACGATGGGAGGGGGCATTGCTCACTAGGAGGCTGCCGAAACCGTTTGCGTCACCCGTGCTGCCGTGACATTTGCTTTGGGCGCCGACTTGCTTGAGGCGCAATGCATGCTTTTGTTCAGAATATCAGAACGTTTTTACCTATATCTAAGTGTTTGTTTCAATGATATGTGTTTGAACTACAACTTCTGTGTGGATTTACCGCGTGCATATATGGTATAGTAGGTGATTTCCAATATGATATTTCAGTTTTTCCAAAGCGTATGGCGGATGTGTTTTTCGAGAACAACGGACAGCGCGTTTCGCGTAGTCGGATTGATTTTTCTTGCGTTGCACATTATCGAACACAACCTTGCCTACATCCTCTCACGCGTCACACATCGGGCGCACCAACGCATTGCAGTTTCCACTGTGCCGTGTTTCGGGCTGTACTTCAATGGCGGCCTGATTAGTTCAAACGCGAGGAGGCACGTCCCTCCCCCTCCTCCTCCTCCCTCCTCCTCCCCCTCCTCCTCCTCCTCCTTCTCCTCCTCCTCCTCCTCCCCCTTCTCCTTTCACTGGCGGATTTGTAGGCCGCCCCTCCCCCTCCTCCTCCTCCTCCTCCTCCCCGTCCTGCTCCTTTTTCAAGGGTCAGGGAAGACGCCAATGCCGATGCCGGCGCGTCATCATGAGTTCATTATCGGGCTTCGGTTTGTCTTGTTAACCCAGTTTGAATTCACCCTGTGAGTAGGATGAGGAGGAGGGCGACGTGGCGGAGGAGGAGGAGGAGGATGGGAAGGCCTGAGTGCTTCATCCTGGAATAGTTGTGCGTGCTTTGCGCGCTTGCTCGCCCATAGCCGTTTCAGCGTTTCAGCGATGTCGGGGACATACTTGGACCGTAAGATCATTCACGCGTGCGCCTCGCACGCGCTTGTTCTTGGCTCTGATCTGTGCATCACGCGCGATGGAATTCATTTTTTAATTAGCAGCATCTCTGGTGATTTCAACGTGGGATGGGCCCTCCGAGATTTCGCAACACTTATGTCATACCCCGTGGTTGAGAGCGAGCACGTAGCTGACGCAATCTATTTGGGAACCGTGATCGTCGGAGTGTTGAAATGTTTGTTGGTGCCCGAAGTTGCTTATTCCTGGGACCGTGTGCTCGAAGGGCTTCCCGCGAGATTGAAGATGGCCGTGGATTTTGCTGCTCGTGTGCCGTCGCCTGAGCCGCTGCAGGTCGTTCCTCTCATGATTCCGAGGCGAGAATCGGAGGGCCCCGCGCCCGGGCCAGTTCAGGATCTTGTTCCCCGCCAGCACAATTACATCCGTAAGGGCAACTCATACGAGGATATGAGTCCAAAAGTTGCTGCCGCTGAATTGCGCCATCGGGGCGCTGTGATAGCGGAGAAAAACAAAGTGATCAAACGCCTCAGAAATAACCAGAGCTCCAAGCGCGCCCGGAAGGCCAAGGCCCTTGGAAAGAAGAAGGACTTGGCTAGCACCCAGGCGATGCGTCTGGCGGTTCGGAAAGAGGACTAGGAGCCCCAGAAGAGAGGAACAAATGGGGGAGGAGGAAGAAGAGGAGAATGAGAAGCGCGAGGGAAGAGGACGACGATGGAGAGGAGGTGGATGGATGAAGGAAGGAAGGAAGGAAAGGAGGAACGGAGTAGTGTAGGGAGGAGGAGAAGGACGCGGAGGAGGTGGGGGCGCGCCTGGCAAAGGCGACCTTCGACGACGGCAACGGCCTCGAATTCAAGAAGGGCAGGGCCGATTCTGTCATTAGGAGGTACACGGCTCGCGGTGGTTACTTGTTGGCCGCTAGGCGTTGCCTATCCCTCGTTTCTGCCAGGGGGTTAAGCTTTGCGTTGCTGCGAGATCTCCATCATTCCACTGTCACAAGATGGGAAATCCGAATGCGGGAATCATTAAACTTGGCGGCAAAATTGTGGTTCAAATCGGCTTCGTTGGCCCTCGGGTTGCACGGGTTGCAAGGGGAGTCCGCCGACGGATGGAAGTTCATGTTTAACATGTACCGTTCGGACGCTACGAACAGCTCTGTTTGGCAAGCTTGCAAATTACACACAACCGAATGCATCAGTTGTTATACCCCCTTCGGCGTTCGAGAATGTGACCACTACAGTGACATCCTAAAAGATTTGGAGTGCAAAACAATTGTCGGCGATTTGCAGGTAGTCGGCGGCGGTAAAGCAGAGCACACCCTGGGGCTGATCAGGAAACAGCTTCGTTCGATTGGCGGCGTGGCGCCGCTGGTACGAGATTCGTCGGCATTGCCGCTGGCGGAAGGAGACCCCCGCGCGGCGCCTGGAGCCCTCTGCGACTTTGACGACGAGCCCGTTGCTGTGGTTTGCAAGGATTCGGGGGCGCCCTTGGTTTCGAAACCTACGACGTGGAGGGATTTAGTCGCATTGCCCCCCTCGGGGTCGGGCCCCGGAAGGCCAGGGTGAGGACGTTAGGAGGAGGTGGAGGCTAAGGCGGTAAGAAATAACGCGACAAGAGGAGGAGGAGGAAGAGGCGTAGGAAGAGGAGGAGGAGAAAGAGGAAAGGAGGAGGAGGATGACGAGAAGGACGAGAGGATGGAACGAGAAGGCTCGGAAGAGCGAGACATCTGGATTTGGGAAATACGCGGGGGGGGAGAGGATGAGTAGTAGTAGTAGTAGTAGTAGTAGTAGTAGTAGTAGTAGTAGTAGTAGTAGTAGTAGTAGTAGTAGTAGTAGTAGTAGTAGTAGTAGAGTAGTAGTATTAGTAGTAGTAGTAGTAGTAGTAGTAGTAGTAGTAGTAGTAGTAGTCGTAGTAGTAGTGTAGTAGTGAAATTGGTGGTGGTAGTAGTAGTAGTAGTAGTAGTAGTGGTGGTGGTGGTAGTAGTATGAAAAGTAGTAGTAGTAGTAGTAGTAGTAGTAGTAGTAGTAGTAGTAGTAGTAGTAGTAGTAGTAGTAGTAGTAGTAGTAGTAGTAGTAGTAGTAGTAGTAGTAGTAGTAGTAGTAGTAGTAGTAGTAGTAGTAGTAGTAGTAGTAGTAGTAGTAGTAGTAGTAGTAGTAGTAGTAGTAGTAGTAGTAGTAGTAGTAGTAGTAGTAGTAGTAGGGTAGTGGAGGAGAAGGAGAAGGAGAAAGAGGAGGATGGGGGAGGAGGAGGAGGAGGAGGGGGGGATGAGGAGAAAACCAGCCAGGAGCCAGGAGCCAGGAACCAGGAGCCAGACGACGGCAACGACGGCGGCGATTCGCGGCGGTGGGCCCCCGCCCTGGCCCAGGCGCTCGCTTTGCCGCCTCCCGCCGCAGCGGCGGACGCTGCCGACGCCGCCCGGGCTGTTGCCCTGCTCCAGGACGGCCCAGGTCGCGGCGCCTGGGACAGAGAGAGGGAGGCGGGAAGAGGGGGAAGAGCGAGAGAGAGAGAAAGAGAGAGAGAGAGAGAGAAAAGAGAGAGGGAGAGAGATGGAGAGAGGGATGGAGAGAGAGAGAGAGAGGGAGAGAGAGCGA